CTGTATCACCACTGCTATTTACTAAGTAACAATAATATATATATATATATATATATATATATATATATATATTAAATTGAAACATATTTTATTAAATATTGAAGGCAAAATTCCTTATAAAATAAACTAAGCAGCATAAACTTACCTAAAAATCCATACTCGAACACCATTTGCCAAAGACTCTTCGAGGAGAGGAATTATAGTCGACGGACTATCTTTCCAATTGTAAAAAGGAGGATCGCTACAAAAGGGAAAATAATTGTTGGGTTGAGAAGAAAACGCAGACAAGAAAAAGCTAAAAAATATTATAGAAATGAATACAATTGATAGTATCTATTGAAATTTTGTTCATTTACAATTACCTGCAAGCTTCCCAATCATAGCTGATATTGGTGACATTAGCGTGGAGCGCCTCTTGAACATCCCGCCTGTTCAAGTAAGCATAAATGTAATTGTCGGAGCAAGGATCAAACTGCAATGTCTGCATCAGATAAGACATAGCAATACTTGCATTATTATTCATCGCGTAAATTAAATGATCTCTACATTATAATATCAACATAAAACGAAACGACAAATACAAGTTATCCCACTTACAGAAGGTAATTTAGGGTGTTTCGTGAGATTGCCATCGTGGCACAGAGGAAAATAAATGTTGTAGATGTCAAGATTATCGGTGTTGTTGTCTGAAACTGCACCTGCCTTGTTGCACTTTTCCTCATTGTAGAAATCGGAGTAACAATATTTCTGGATATCAAGAAAAGTTTGATCTAATATTAGGGCATGAGAAGAAAAGTATTCATACATTCCTACGTTATCTGTATCTTCATTGATCACTGCATTCCCGATCTGCAATTTGTTGCAACAATAATCCGTCAGTGGTATGAAATTCATAAGAATTTAACATATATACTCTAACAACGTAAATAATTAATTGGAGAACTTACAATAATCCTTTTAGATTGATAAGAGTCTTGTTGGCGCGCTTGTTAAGGTGAAGAATTGCATGTGCCAATTGAGGTACATAATGACCAGCATAGTTTTCTCCAGAAATGTAAAAATCTCTGTTCTTGTACTCGGGAAATCGCTTGAGCCAATTCAGTAAAAATACAACATTATCATTAGTTGTTCTCTTATCTCCAGTTGAGTTGAAGTCACTGCTTGTATTTGTATAAGAAAATCCTACTCCAGCAGGAGACTCCAAGAACAATACATTTGCAGCTATATATATAATTCAATTAGAGAAAGTTAGGATTAATATATTCTCCGTTGATAATTTCTAACTGTTTCGAAATATTAATAATAGAAAAGTTACACAGTAAAAGAAAAAATTAAAGAAAAGAATTTACCGAGACTCCATGCATAACAATTACTGTATAATGTTTTTCCATCACTGTGAACTCTAAAAGGTCCGAGTTACTCCACGCCCCAAATGCAATAGAAACAGCCAGGACCTACAGATATGATTCTTGAAGTTTTAAGTATATTTTCATATTATTATATTTACATATATATATTTAAGATTAATAACAATATAAGCAAATCCAAAAATGTATTGATCAGAAACTTTAAGTGTTTATTGAAGAGAGTGATATGAAATCTAAAAATTTTAAGATAATAGTAGTAAGAAAAAGAAATTTGGTTTTTAATTTACCCTGTTAATGAAAAATATTACTAACATTTTATAGCAACCAATAATCTTACTCGTGAAAAATATTTCTCTCAAATAGCTTAAACCAGGATGAAGCTTTTTCACATGTCATATTCACAAACGCAAAAATAATATTTGGGGGCTGGTGGAAGTACAAGTGGTCAATTTAATAAAATTATATATGCAAATGAAAAGGTTTATGTCAAAAGTATATAGTATAATACAAAAAAAAATGATATATATATATATATACCTCCATTAAGCCAAAGAAGCAAAGGCAATGACTTAGAATTCTCAGCTTCAGTAAAGTAATAATAGAAAGCACGACCAGCAGATTCATTGACAGTAACATAGCCACCATATTGTTGGAATTTAACTGGTGGTTGTCCAGGCAATTTCTTGATCCAATCTTTTTCTTTCTGTTCCTCTTGAGGTAGAATAAGTTTGTTTAAATCTACATGGCTAAGAGCTACCTTAAACTGGTTCTTGTCAATGGATGAATCTTTCTTTTGCTTAGCCTTGTAAAATTTGCCAAGAACATCATTTTGCCTTTTTCTAAGGCTTGAAGCCACAAAATATGACAAAAGGAGGGTAAAAAGTAGGAAGAAGAAAGTGATTTTTCCCATTTTCTGGTCTTTTAAGGGGGTTTATATGTTGCAATTCTGTGTGATTCTTGATTTGATATTATACCATTTTGGTACTGAAGACAAATCATTTTTTAACAAATTGGCTATATTATTGGGATTATGATATGACTTGCTCCAATTACGCATGATATTATACCAAATATAGTTGTTGATTTCTTGCATATGATAATTTTACTATATTTTGATTTCTAAAGACAAATCAGTTTACAATAAATTGGCAATCACAGGGACTATCGTATATGACTTACTTTAATATGCAATATTTATGCCAAATATAGTTCTAACCGACAGGATTCTACTACTTGATTTTCGCAATTTGGCATGTAAATAAAAATAAAGTGAACCTTAATTCAAAAGAGGGTGTAATAGGAATGAAAATCTTCTGACAAAAAAAAAATGAATATCTCGACATAATATGATTAATTAACTAGTACGTAGTTTGTGCAGAAACTACAAGTGATTATGGATTAGTTTGTTAATTATAAGACGAGTATATAGCACATGTAGAGACCTTTTCATGTATAAGATTTTGAGATTTATAACTAATTTCTCACGTTAGATTAATTTGTATAAAATCATATATACAAATATATATTTCATGTGATATAATCTATGAATCAAATCAAAAAAAAGATATGAACCCTTCTTAAAAAAATAAAAATAAAAATGAATCTTTACACAAATAGCCGGTTGGATTCACTATTTATTGTTTTAGCTGGTGTAGATAGATTATATCCGATTATACACATATTATATATGAATTATACATATATTATACATGCGTCAGCTATTTTTAGTATAAACGGTTGGGGGATGAGAAGAATTAACTTAAATAGCCGTACACCCAACCGCTTAAACTTAAAATAGCCGATGGATATATAATATATAAATAATTCAGATATAAAATATATATAACTGTGTATAATTAATGTGTAATCCATATACACCGGTTAAAAAAAAGTAAATAAGGAATATAGTTGGCTATTTGTGTAAAGATCAAGCTAGGGTCCATTTAACTAGAAAGTCGATGGCCCAAGTGAAAACTCCTTCTAGCAGGCCCAAATAAACTTTCAGTTTCTCTTCGCCGTTCAGTTTCTCGACGAAATCAAATTGTGAGTTTCTGCATCAGACTCCTTTACAAAATTTTACCTGTTTTTAACCATAATATCCAATTTTAAAAAACAAAATCTTATTAAATTGGATTATAGTACTGTTTTTCTTGCATATTTCATTGTAATTATTACTGTTTAATATTTTCTTGAAATTGTGATGATATATATAATTGCATTTGAGCAGTAAAATTCAATTTTTAGTATTTGTTAATTGTATAGCAGTAAAAATTCAATGTTTAATATATGTTAAGTGCATTTGAGCAGTAAAAATTCATATGTTTAATATATGTTGATTGCATTTGAGCAGTAAAAATTCAATCTTTAGTATATGTTAAGTGCATTTGAGCAGTAAAAATTCAATCCTTAATATATGTTGAGCAGTAAAAATTCAATGTCTAATATATGTTGATTGCATTTGAGCAGTAAAAATTCACTCTATAATATATGTTGATTGCATTTGAGCAGTAAAAATTCAATCTTTAGTATATGTTAATTGCATTTGAGCAGTAAAAGTTCAATCTTTAATAGTTATTATAATATATGCCGTATGTTAATTGCAGCTTTGAATTGTTCTTAAATGAATCTTGAAAATCACCAAATGGGTGAGAGAAATGATAATGTGAAGGAAAAAAGATTAGTTTTTGTAACAGTCGGGACGACTTGTTTTGATGCATTAGTAAGAGCAATGGATACAACAGAAGTTAAGAATGAATTATTCAAGAAAGGTTACACTGATATTCTTATTCAAATGGGGCGTGGATCGTACATTCCCACAAAGTTAATTTGATATTTTTATGTATATATGTTTTTCTCTAAACACATTTGTGCTAAAAGTTTCAGCTTTTCAATTTCTGATCTAGTTTTAGATCCAAAAGAGTTGTCTCCTATCTCCTTGATTTAAGCAAAAAGGATAAGAAAACAAACAAACTTGAGTTGGCTAATTAAGTGAAAAACCTGCTCGCTCCATTTTAATTTATGTCATATAGTTTGACAAGACGCTTTGAGATTGTTGTTATTATCTTTATGGCCTATTTGTTGATACTACTTGTTTCTACTGTTTCTTTTGTCTGTCTTGAGCCGAGAGCCTACCGGAAACATCCTCTCTACCTTCCCAGGATAGGGGTAAGGCTTGCGCACACACTACCCTCTCCAGACTCCACTGGTGAGATTCCACTGGGTTGTTGTTGTTGTTTAGTTTGACAAGGCACAGAGATTTAAGAAAAAAGAAAGACCTTTGAAGCTTGCCAGACGTGCTCCGACAACCTTGCCCGAGCCTCTCTCCCTTCACCCAATGCTTGACAGCTTTCTTCACGTGGCATGACACATCTATCTTTGACACTCATCAGTCAGCTAAAAGACGTGGTCTTAAACATGCCATGAGATTTTTGTGGCTATAAAACCATGCCATTAAGGGAAAAATGAGAAATTTAAAGTTAAATGGTTTCCAAATATAGAAAGGTTTCATTCTTTTTATAATGGACTAATAAGAAAGTAGTGCCATGTGAAATGGAACAGAGGGAGTATGAGTTAGTGATTGAAAAATGATGCAGAATTACTGCTTTTACCTGGATTTTGGAAATAATCTCTGTTTGCTTTTATTTTCTTGCTGCGAAGAAAGTGTAGGATTCTTCTCAGATGTGAGACTTAGATTGGACAAGGACATTCAGATGATATGTTTTTTAAATGGGAAAATAGATCATTAGAAAAAAGGAAAGCGTAACTTGTCTTGAAAATTCTAAGCTAAGGGATTTTAACTCTGTCCAATGATAAAATGTTGCACATCACAGCAGAAGAAGTTGTATGTGTGCAAACTGTGTATTCGTTTAGGTGAGGTAGGTCTGCTTAATTGAATTCTGAAAATTGAAGGTTCTGGTGAAGAATTTATGTTCGGATTTGCTTGGATATGTAGCTTTATTCTGTGTAGTCACTGAAAATGGCTTTAGTGAACTGAAGTATTTTAGAAGCTGAGATCATATATCCTCATATGAAGGACAATACAAAGGATAGATTGGGAAAGTGTGACGTGGCATTATATTTGGGTGCTAAGCATCTCATTAAACTTAAGCACCATATTAGCTTTCCGTGATAAGAATTCGGTATATATTATCTGCACAATCATTTGATGTTTGGATTTGAACTGATTGGCTGCAAGTAATGGCTTCATGTTGTTTATCACTTCGATTGTGATGGCCAAAGTTTACTTAACAATGGACTGGCCTTTTTATTGTTAAACTTTATTCCAGCGTTGTAAAATCTCTTTTGAGCCGTCTACTGAATTCTTGCACTCGCTCACTCATTCACTTATAACTAACTACCTTTGCAAAATTTACTCAATCACTCGACCATTCTTTTTGCCTGGTAAATACTCTTCTTCTTTTTTTACGTGGTAAATACTCATTTGTTTCTGGTCTTTTATATCTTGCTGTAATATTTCCAGTCGACTGCTGAAAATGGTTCCCCAGCTCTGGACTACTTCACATTTTCATCAAGCATAGCTGACTACTTGAAGTCAGCATCACTTGTTATCAGCCACGCAGGTAATTGGTTGACGACAAATGTAGCTTTATACATTTAGTATATTTCTGGTACTTTCTTCTGTCTTTGGCTTTCACAGTCTCCTTTACTTTTCTTCCTTTACTCCCCCATCTAACCGGATCAGAGCAGTTAGCCATATATCGTTGTTGGATTGAAATGGCTATATATTTGCTCAAACTAGGGAATTAGTTCATAGATCCAGATAATAGTTGTACAAAGCAGAACAAAAGAAATAAAGAACATGTTAGTTGTAGATGCCAAAACCCAGAGTTAGCTAGCTTTCTCTCGTTGAGACAGTTTAACATTTCCATGCTGTTCCAATGCTCATGATAACTTACTTTGAAACATAGGGGAATTCAAGCTTCCTAAGGTGTGGAAACCGTTTCCCTTAAGACGTCTATCTCATGATTGGAATTAACGTCAACCTCTGCTCAGTTCTTTGCTTGCAAATGTTTACGGCTGCTACTGGCCTCAGAAAACATATGATTGGTGAAACGTTTCTGCACTTGGTTCTGAGGTGGCATGTTGCGAAGATAAGGAAATAACTGATAACTCGTCATTATAGGACTTCAACGTGCATGCTTTTAGGAGAGCCATTAGGTCTCAAGTTCAAATCCTAGCTGAGGCAAAAAACATATATGAATTCCTTCCACCTGTAAGCCTTGGCGGACAAAGTTGCCAGGTACCTGTGCTGGTGGGAGATAGCAGGTATCTAATGGCATAGTCGAGGTGCGCTCAAGCTGGCCGAGACACAACCATCATCATATAAAGACGTGCATGCTTTGAGAACTCTGATTCAGATTAACTAGAGACAGTAGAAAATGGATTTAAAAGGTAAGGCTTATGTAATCACAAATTTGAAAGTGCTGCAGGTTCAGGGAGCATATTTGAGACATTACGCCTGGGCAAACCGTCAATAGTGGTAGTCAATGAGGATCTAATGGACAACCATCAAAGCGAGCTCGCAGAGGAACTGGCTGAGCGAAAGCATTTGTATTGTGCTCGTCCACAAACGTTATACAAGACTATCTCGGATATGGATCCGGGGTCTCTTGTTCCATATCAACCAGGTGATGCAAACACAGTTGCTAAACTTATTAATAGATATCTTGGTTTCCCAGATGATTAATGGGAACTGGTTGTTCTGTGTATTTGACATGCACTGAAGTTCAGTTGTATGTAATTTATATGGCCTAATTTTTTATCTTCAAGTATTCTGTAGTATTATGGGAGCCTTGGCATAACGGGTAAAGTTGCTGTCATGTGACCAGGAGGTCACGGGTTTGAGCCGTAGAAACAGCCTCTCGTAGAAATGCAGGGTAAGACTGGGTACAGACCCTTGTGGTCAGGCCCTTCCCTGGACCCCGTGCATAGGGGGAGCTTAATGCACCGGGTTGCCCCTTTTTATTCTGTTATATTGTTCCTAATGGTGTTTAACGTAATTGAAAAACTCTCACAAGAGGCAATCACACTTCAAACTTGATATTTCCTTTTCTTTAGGTAGTTTAGTACTACTTTCTTTTAGCATCTTAGTTTGATAATCAGATATCAGTCAAGTTTAAGAGAACAATTTCAAAAGTTAAAAATGTATGATATTGTATTCCTCCTTGATTAATACTTACACATGGTAAGAGTGCAACGCGTGATGTGTGGGTTAGGTGCATGTCACTCGGAGAATTTTCGTTATAAAAACATTGATTTTTCTATGTTAATACCAATTACTGAAAATTGGATGAAGTCATAAACTGTCCTTGTATTTTGGCAATTGAATATTTTTATAAGTCTAACATGTATAAGAAGACCCTATTAGTCGGATTTTATCGGGATGTTGTTGTTGTTGTAACATGTATAAAATATTTTTGAGGAGAAATTGAGGGTTTACAGACGGAAAGGGAATGAGGAATTGCAGAATTTTTATTTAACTTTAATTTTATTTTTTTCGCTTTTCTTTTTTTAATTTATGAAATTGCAGAATCTTTTTTAAGCTAAGGTGACCGTCAGGAATAAATTAGCAAAGGCGACAATTAAATTCAATTTCCTCAACTTACATTGATAATTTGGCTCCTCATAATAAATGAATTCTTATGATTTTATGGTTTAAAAATACTCAGATTTGGGCTATTGCTTTTTCTCTATTCTCCGTCCCTAGAAGTTATCTATAAATATTGGTCTTTCCCTTTACCTTTAAGTCTAATTAGGAAGATTTTGAGAATACATTTTAAAGAAAAGAAAATCAATTTTGATAGTAAGTATGTTTTTGAACAATTTCTTACAATATGGATCATTCAAAATAAGAATTATGTGTTTGTGCTATATTCGGATATTCTATGATCGTTGCTTAATTCACAATGCATTCACTTCATTTATTCATTTGTTTGTTATTTTGCATTTGAAAGTTAGCATGAGATAAATTCAAATTGAGAAACATGATCAGTGAGAATTCATATAACAGATCTCAACTTATTTAAGATTGAGAAATAATTGTTGTTGTGGCATATAACCGACCCAACAAAATTACACTCAATTCTATGCTAACTAAGTAAATACTTCGCCAAACAAACTATAGAGATCATTTAACTATGGAGAGAGAGACCTGGAAGGAACTAAAAAGACCCTAACAAAATTTCTTTTTGATCCCAATAAAGGGTGTTCAATATATGTTATATTCCATTAAAATCTAATATTTTACCTATATATACATCATAATTTTTCGACGAAGGGTCGTCAGTTGACCACCCTTAGGGTATGTACCTTCGCCCCTGCTTCCTCGGAACCCGCGCATAGCAGGAGCTTAGTGTATCGGGCTGCCTGCACATAGCCGACAAAAACATGTAAATATAAGAAAGTCCAATATATTGCAGGATGCTCTGTACGTGTCTGTAACGCGCACACACATGCATATTGTCATGGGCGGCTTTCCAGCCATGCCCCATGACCCCTTGGGCGCGCCCCGTGGCGTCCTAGCGAACCTCCCAATGCCTAGCGCCACAGACAGCCCCGTGGTCTTGGCCGCGCCAAGTGACAAGCGCACAGGTGCCTCTGTCGCCCCACCGATATCCCTCGCGAGCGCCAAGCCGCAGGCAGAAGCCAACAGTACCGCGCGTGCAGACAACGCCGCGCGCGCAGACCGTGATGCCAAAGACACTGCTGCTGAAAACGGACCTGCTGCTGCCTTATAGAAAACCAAGTCATTTTCATTGTAAATATAGAGTAGTTTTATTTCATGTACTTCCATTATGTTTCTCTAGCTTAGTCGAGTCTAGTCTTGTAACTTTGGATTATTTTTTTTAAGTACTATTAGGGGGGATCAAGCAATCAAAACTTTCTAGCAATCAAACAATTCTCTGTACTGGTGTCTCTCCCCCTCGACACCGCGTTGCTTTTCTGTAATAGCTTTCATTAATGCAATCAAGCTTTCTTTCATTCTGAATTCTCATTTCTGTTCTCTCAATTGCTCTTGACATTGGTTTTCCCGTACGGCACTGACAATCTCGTCTAGCGTACGGAGGGGACCTCAGTTGGCGGACAGCAACTGCACTGTCATCAGTTGCCTAGCCTTACGTCGCCCTTCCAAGGAATCTCAGGAAGGCGCCGCGTAACAGTTGGTATCAGAGCCTAGGCTCGACATCGGACGAGGGAACGTATTGACATACCACCATTTCCGACCATGGTGAATCATGGGGACCGCATTGCGGCCCTCGAAGGGACAAACTCTTCACCTGCATGGAAGGGTTGAAACCTTATGCCCGCGTGGAGCTACAGAGACAAAGGGTAGATTCCCTTCCCAAGGCAATCCAAGCAGTTGAATGCCTTGGGGACTATCAAATGGAAGCTCGAAGGGACAGGCCTCAGCCGCCTGCCCGAGCAGGGTTCAAAGGGGGCCAGCCCAACAGTGGTGGTCCTAGCAAAAATGGGGGAGATCAGAACTCAAACAAATCTAGAGCTCCTTCCTCCGGCAGCAACAGTGTTGCGTCAAACAACAATGGTCGGGCGAGAAAGCCTCCTTCATGATGCCGTCATTGCGGTGGTCCACATTGGAACAATGAGTGCCCACATGCACAGATGAATGCCCATCAGGCTATTGATGATGGGACTGATGACGACTCAGACGATGCGGACCAGACTGAACCAGTAGGTGCCTTCAATGCAATTGTGGGTTCCATTTCTGAGGCACTAGCGGAGACCAGTGCTGGTATTCGTAAGAAGAAGGACTCATGTCCCGTCACCAGGAAAGGGAAAAAGAAGGCGAATGAAGAGACTCCTCTTAAACAAGAGAGGACCTTAATGTTCGTCGAGATGAAGGTGAATGGCAAGCCCATTCGGGCTATGATAGACACGGGTGCTACCCACAACTACTTAGCCTCGACTCAGGTGGAGCGCCTTGGACTAGTTGTAGGGAAAGGTAAAGGTAGCGTCAAGGCTATCAACTCACCTCCCCAGCCAGTGGGTGGAATAGCTAAAGAAGTACTGGTGAAGCTTGGGCCTTACGAAGGAAAATTCAACCTGCGAGTGGTGATCATAGATGACTTCGAGTTGATTGTTGGGCTGGAATTCCTAAGGCAAACCAACACCATGCCTGTACCATTTGCAGACATGCTACTTATGATGGGTATCAATAGGGCCAAGCCCTGCATTATCCCGTGCCTGCCCATAAATATGGCCGTTGAGAACATCTCGGCCTTGTAGTTGAAGAAGGGGGTCAAAAGGAATGAACCTACGTTCCTGGCAACCCTTTGCATTGAAGATATAGAACGCTCCTCGGGTCCCATTCCTGAACCCGTGAAGGAGTTACTACTGGAGTTTGAAGATGTCATGCCACAAGACATGCCAAAGCGGCTCCCGCCTAGGCGCACTGTGGACCATGAAATTGAGTTGGTGCCGGGCGCGAAGCCACCTGCCCGGGCGCCTTACAGAATGTCACAACCCGAACTCACCGAGCTTCGGAGACAATTGACGGAAATGCTAGATACAGGGATCATTGTACCCTCCAAGTCCCCATATGGGTCCCCTATTCTATTCCAAAAGAAACATGATGGCAGCCTGCGACTCTGTGTGGATTATCGAGCTCTAAACAAAATCACCGTGAAGAACAAGTACCCTATTCCCCTAATGGCGGACTTGTTTGATAGACTGGGTGGTGCTACGGTGTTCACCAAGATAGATCTGAAGACAGGTTATTGGCAAGTTCGGATTGCAGAGGGTGATGAACACAAGACGACTTGTGTGACAAGATATGGGTCGTACGACTTCCTGGTCATGCCATTCGGCTTGACCAACGCCCCTGCTACGTTTTGCACTCTCATGAACCAAGTCTTCCGAGAGTACATCGACGAATTTGTGGTGGTCTACTTAGATGACATTGTGGTATATAGCCAGACATTGGAAGAACACCTAGTACACTTGCGGAAGGTCCTAGCTCGGTTGCGGGAACATGAACTATATGCAAAGTTATCCAAGTGCTCCTTTGCTCAGAAGCAAATTGATTTCCTCGGACATGTCATCGAGGAAGGACGCATCAAGATGGACCAACAGAAAATCCAGGCCATCACAGATTGGCCGCCACCTAAGGATGTCCACGCCTTGAGGGCGTTCCTTGGCCTATGCAACTTCTACCGGCGGTTTGTGAAGAACTACTCACTTATCGCAGTGCCATTGACAGAACTCCTCAAAAAGGTCACACCTTGGGACTGGGGACCAAGGAGAGCAGAGGCCTTCAACGCATTAAAAGCGGCTATGTCTAGTAGCCCCGTCTTGGCCCTTCCTGATTTGGCCAAGCCGTTCGAGGTACAAACAGATGCTTCTGACTATGCCCTCGGCGGAGTCCTGCTACAAGAAGGGCACCCTGTAGCGTACGAGAGTCGGAAGCTGAAGGATGCAGAGCGGCGCTATGCCGCCCATGAGAAAGAATTATTGGCTGTCGTCCACTGCTTGCGCCTCTGGAGGCACTATCTGCTGGGAACCCCGTTCGTGGTCAAGACAGACAACACAGCTGTTAGCCATTTCATGACCCAGCCGAAGCTGAACGGTCGACAGGCCAGGTGGCAGGAACTCCTAGCTGAATTCCACTTCAACTTGGAGTATCGCAGTGGAAAGACCAATCATGTTGCTGATGCGCTCAGTCGGAGAGTTGATCTAGCATCGGTGTGCCTACTCGCCACCCTAAGGGGGAGCGAAGTAGCCACATCCATCAAGGACCAAATACGGGATCTACTCATCACGGATCCTGCTGCTCAGTATTTGGTTGATTTGGTAGGACAGGGCAAGACTCGCCAGTTCTACATGGAAGATGGTTTTCTGAAAGTAAAAGGGAACCGACTTTATGTTCCTAAAGGAGGAGATTTGCGGAGGACTCTTCTAGCGGAATGTCATGATACTCTGTGGGCCGGCCATCCCGGTGAAGAACGCACCATGGCGTTACTTCGTCGTGCCTATTATTGGCCTCAAATGGCCGATGATGTCGCTCAGTATGTGAAGACTTGTCTA